AACACTCCATATACATTGTGTGAACTTGATTGATTGAATATCACTTCCAACAACGCTGTGTTTCAACAACAGTTAACCCGGCGCAACGCACCCACTCCGGAGTGTTGCGACCGGATACCTTGAACGGTAACTCGACAAGAGGCCGCCGAGTTTGTGCAGAGCGGACTTATGCGCCGCCGCACACTCCGTTCTCAAGCCCAGACCCTTAGCACACCAGTGCCGGGACGGCCACCTAAGCTTGGGGGGGGGAGAAGTCAAGTTGACATCCCGAAAGAGAAGAAGCCAGAGAGGGACGACCCCCTGGTTGAACCCCAGGAGAAGGCTTCCAACGAGAAGACCCTAGATGCGACTCGAGAGAAAGCTTCGCCGGAGAGGCCATCGAGCAACACGGAACCACGGACCGAAATTCCGAACTTGCATTAAATTGAAGAATGAGCGTCTGTTCGCAAGGTTTATAGGCTACGACGGAATTTGCTAGCCTATAGTCAAAAGTCTCGTCTCTAAGGGTCTACGTCGATCTAGAAGTCTGCTCAAAGTCTAATCGAAGTACAAACTACCCCTAGTGGTGCGAACAATAGGGCGGAGTCGATGGCACCTTGGACGAAAATAGGATGTCGATCCTCGTATATGATTCGGTCGGCGGAATATGCGCTGCGGAGTCGCGCGAACGTGGTAAAATAGGGCGCGGATGTACCGTACAGGCTCGAGTACCCAGCGCACAGTACGCAACCAAGGTAAGTGCCGTAGCGGAAGAACGGCAAACGTGTGAGTGCCTGGTTGTTTGTACCGAGCGCGGTACTTGCGTTGTGCACAAGTGACGATGGCACTAGGCGCATGCCCCGGCCGTTACTGACGGCGGTTGTGCACTAAGATGCGGCAATCTATGCGGGAATCCCTCTAGGATTGGCGAGCCCCAGGTGGGGTCTAACTAGGATGGGCGGCCAAGTGGCGGCATCTAGCAACTAGCATGGGCATAAAGCCCTATAGCCGAGCCTTCACGGCAACGACAGCACACGGCATGACAACTGTCATGCGGTCATGGGTCGGTGCGATATCATGTCGGTGCACAGTCGAAGTGCCTTGATTGAACGGCGAAAGCGAAAAACATACGTGATTACACCCCGAAAGAGAAGAAGCCAGAGAGGGACGACCCCCTGGTTGAACCCCAGGAGAAAGCTTCCAACGAGAAGACCCTGGATGCGACTCGAGAGAAAGCTTCGCCGGAGAAGCCATCGAGCAACACGGAACCACGGACCGAAATTCCCTCGGTTCCGAACGCCGAACCTTCCGATCCAGATGATCCTTACCACGATCTTCCTGAGCTAGTTAGCGATGAGGAGGGGGACATCGAATGGAAGATGGGAGATCATCTCACTGCTAAGCAGAATGCAGACCTGAGAGAGATACTCGACGAGTATCGCGACGTTTTCGCTCACGACATGAGAGAGTACTTCTTAGGCGGCACCCACTGTCAAGGGAGAAACGTTTTCGATTCCGCTCACGGACGAGACGCCAATATTTCGGCAGAAATACCGGCTGTCACAGTCCGAGAACGAGAGCCTGAGCGAACACATTGAGGAACGACTCAAGTGTGGCTTCGTTCGCCCCTCGACGTCTCGATGGGCCTTTCCCACTACCATGCCGCCTAAGAAGTACGAGCACGGGAATTGGACCCTGAAACGCCCGTGCGAAGATTATCGCGAGCTGAACAAAGTCAGCATTACGGATCATTATCCGTTGCCTACGCCAGAAGAGATCCTTGATCAGCTAGAAGGCGCGACCTGGTTCACCACCCTCGACCTGAGGTGGGGATACCACCAAGTCGCTCTCGACGAGAAGGACTGTTGCAAAACGGCTTTCTGGGGTCCTAAGGGACTTTACGAGTGGGTCGTCATGCCGTTGGGACTCAAGAACGCTCCGGCTTTCTTCCAACGGTTGATGGACACTACCTTGCGCGCGCAGTACGAGTTCTGCCGCTGCTACATCGATGATGTGATCATCTTCAGCAAGTCGTTCGAGGAACACCTCGTTCACCAACGAGCCGTCCTCAGCGCATTGCGCGCTAAGCGCATCAAGTGTCATCCCAAAAAGATGAGACTGGTTGTGTCAGACGTCGAGTACCTGGGCCACTTCGTGGTGCCCAACGGTACCGCACCGCAGCAGGCGAAAGTTGAAGCCATCCTCAAAATGGCCGCGCCTCATGACGTGCCCTCGCTGCGTGCCTTTCTCGGCACAGCTGGTTACTATCGGCGCTATGTTCCGAACTACTCCAGCATCGCCGCTTTTTTGAACAAGCTGCTGCAGAAGGACGTGCCATGGAGATGGACGGCCGAAGCTCAGCATGCTTTTGAGCAGCTCAAGGTCAAGCTGACCGAAGCTCCTATCTTGAGGAGACCCAACTTCGCTCTGCCGTTCGAGCTCCACACTGACTGGAGTGCAGAAGGCCTAGGCGCCGTTCTTGCTCAGAGAGACGAGGAGAACAAGGAGTTCGTAGTTGCATACGCCTCCCGGAGTAACAACCGAACGGAGCGCAATTACTCGAGCTACCAGGGAGAGTGTCTTGCGGCTGTCTGGGGAGTCCAGATCTTCAGCGTGTACCTCGATGGAACACGGGACCGCTACGGCGCGACTCGCGGACCTCGGTCCGACCGGAAATTTTCTACGGTTTACCTCGGTCGGACCAATTTTGCGTAGGTTAATCGTCCGTCGGTCGACGGTTTCCCGAGGTAAATTTGGAGTACATCGGAGGTGCGGCGACGGTCGTACCGGCGAATAACTGAGGTATTATTTGCAAAACCTCGGAATTTCCTTTGGAAAGAAAGGAATTTGCCCCTTAAATTGAGCCAAGTATACAACTCCATAGCATGTGTATTCAAGAGGAGGCAGGGTTGTCCTTTGGTCTAGTGGTAGTGCAAGGCCTCCCAATGAAATTCCAACATTTACTTTTATTGTTCCAATCCCCATATGTCTGCTAGAAAGGTATGAAAAACCATGGCCATGGTGGCCTCATGCTTGGTGTAAAACGCCATATTAGCAAGGAATCGCAAGCTCCCTTCTTCCTCAAAGACCGAAGGCCCCGTTAATTTTAGGTGCACCCAGACCATCCTACCAAAATTCGTGAGGTGGTTTCAACCAGCCTAGAAATGGGGCCTTTCTAGCCTACCACCTTTGACACTCACCATCGCGCACCGTCGATGGTAGCTACCAATCATTATGAGTGTTGAATCGGAGGGTATCAGTACAGCCGGTTGGGACCCTAAGCAGTCGGTTAGGTACCGTACCCTTAGTACTTGGTCGAGATGTACCGCGTACGGCAGTCGGACCTAGTACTTCACAGTAGCGGCGAGTCCGACCGAGTGAACTTTTAACCTCGATCCGACCGAGGAAAAACCGAAATTTCGACGGTCGAAGGAGGTCGGTAAATCGGTCAATTACAGGTTGCACTGACCGGCGATCGAGGTAGTACCTCGAAATTACCTAAACCCGCGCGTCGCGCCGTAGCTGTCCCGTGAAGACACTTCACCCTGATTACGGATCACGAGCCTTTGAAGTGGCTCATGACCAATATGTGACTCACTGGAATGCACGCCCGCTGGGCTAACATCCTCCTGGAATACGACTTCGAGATCGTGCACCGAAGCGGTCTCAAGAATCTGGATGCGGACGGGCTCTCGGGGAACCCTCTCCCATCAGATCACGACTCAACAGACGCTCGAATGGACCGTCGCGTTTCCGAACCTGAATTGGGTATCATTTCTGCTTGCTTGGCAAGACTGGTCGGCCCCACAACTGACGAGGACTCGGTTGTTCGAGCCATGCCCGCCGCGCTGCCCGCCGCACCGCCGCGTGACCAGCCGATCGATCCAGAGTTTCCGGTTAACCTCGACCGCGATATCCGGCACGATGAGCCGGTAATGACCTACTTGAAGCACAGCACTTTTCTCGATGATGCCACGGCTCCTGCAAAGGACCGCATTTGGCACCGTGCCCAGGGCTACCACTTCCAGGAAGACGTGCTTCGCAAGCGCCTCTCTTCTGGCGAAGTCAAGATTGTACCCAAACCATAGCAGCGCGTGAACCTCATTCGCCGCGTGCACCTGGATGTGGGACACTACGGCGTCAAAAAGACGTACTCCTTGCTCGAGCCCATATATTGGTGGGTCGGGATGTATAGAGACGTCCAGAAGGAGGTCAGCACTTGTGTGGTCTGCGACCGCGTCAAGGCCACCTTCGAGGTGAAGGACCCTGAGCTAAAACCTCTGCCAATCATGGGCATGTTTTACCGTTGGGGGATCGATCTTTTCAAGATGCCCTTCCCCTCTGCCGCCGGCAACCAGTACGTGGTTGTCATGATCGAGCACTTTTCGAAGTGGATCGAAATTGCCGCAATTCCTGCAAAGACTGCAGAGAACGTGAAAGCCGCGTGCATCGAGGTCTCGGCACGCTACGGCGCGCCAGCAGAGGTCTTGACAGACCAGGGAACCGAGTTCGAGGGCCTCTTTGCCGCGCTCCTTCTTGCGCTGTACATCGACCACTGCATCACATAGAGACCATGCCCAATCCAACGGCTTGGCCGAGAGGATCGTCCAGATGTGACGATTCGAGTCTATGAATCTTCATATCGAAC